GCAGCAGCATCATCTGTAGAGAGTTATCACTCAAAGTGCCTACGTGACATGGGACAGCAGTAGCAGCAGCATCTGTAGAGAGTTATCACTCAAAGTGCCTACGTGACCTGGAGCAGCAGCAGCATCTGTAGAGAGTTATCACTCAAAGTGCCTACGTGACATGGGACAGCAGTAGCAGCATCTGTAGAGAGTTATCACTCAAAGTGCCTACGTGACATGGGACAGCAGTAGCATGATCTGTAGAGAGTTATCACTCAAAGTGCCTACGTGACATGGAACAGCAGCAGCATCTGTAGAGAGTTATCACTCAAAGTGCCTACGTGACATGGGTCAGCAACATCATCTGTAGAGAGTTATCACTCAAAGTGCCTACGTGACATGGGACAGCAGTAGCAGCATCTGTAGAGAGTTATCACTCAAAGTGCCTACGTGATATGGAACAGCAGTAGCAGCAGCATCTGTAGAGAGTTATCACTCAAAGTTCCTACGTGACATGGGACAGCAGCAGCATCTGTAGAGAGTTATCACTCAAAGTTCCTACGTGACATGGGACAGCAGCAGCATCATCTGTAGAGAGTTATCACTCAAAGTGCCTACGTGACATGGGACAGCAGTAGCAGCATCTGTAGAGAGTTATCACTCAAAGTGCCTACGTGACATGGGACAGCAGTAGCAGCATCTGTAGAGAGTTATCACTCAAAGTGCCTACGTGACATGGAACAGCAGTAGCATCTGTAGAGAGTTATCACTCAAAGTGCCTACGTGACATGGGACAGCAGCAGCATGATCTGTAGAGAGTCATCACTCAAAGTGCCTACGTGACATGGGACAGCAGTAGCAGCATCTGTAGAGAGTTATCACTCAAAGTGCCTACGTGACATGGGACAGCATCAGCAGCAGCATCTGTAGAGAGTTATCACTCAAAGTGCCTACGTGACATGGGACAGCAGCATCTGTAGAGAGTTATCACTCAAAGTGCCTACGGGACATGGGACAGCAGTAGCAGCATCTGTAGAGAGTTATCACTCAAAGTGCCTTCGTGACATGGGACAGCATCAGCAGCAGCATCTGTAGAGAGCTATCACTCAAAGTGCCTACGTGATATGGGACAGCAGCAGTATCTGTAGAGAGTTATCACTCAAAGTGCCTACGTGATATGGGACAGCAGCAGTATCTGTAGAGAGTTATCACTCAAAGTGCCTACGTGACATGGGACAGCAGTAGCAGCAGCAGCAGCATCTGTAGAGAGTTATCACTCAAAGTGCCTACGTGACATGGGGTAACAGCAGCATCTGTAGAGAGTTATCACTCTAAGTGTCTACGTGACATGGGGTAGCATCAGCAGCATCTGTAGAGAGTTATCACTCAAAGTGCCTACGTGACATGGGACAGCAGTAGCATCTGTAGAGAGTTATCACTCAAAGTGCCTACGTGACATGGGACAGCAGTAGCAGCATGATCTGTAGAGAGTTATCACTCAAAGTGCCTACGTGACATGGGACAGCAGCAGCATCTGTAGAGAGTTATCACTCAAAGTGCCTACGTGACATGGGACAGCAGTAGCAGCAGCAGCAGCATCTGTAGAGAGTTATCACTCAAAGTGCCTACGTGACATGGGACAGCAGCAGCATCTGTAGAGAGTTATCACTCAAAGTTCCTACGTGACAAGGGACAGCAGCAGCATCTGTAGAGAGTTATCACTCAAAGTGCCTACGTGACATGGGACAGCAGTAGCAGCAGCATCTGTAGAGAGTTATCACTCAAAGTGCCTACGTGACATGGGACAGCATCAGCAGCAGCATCTGTAGAGAGTTATCACTCAAAGTGCCTACGTGACATGGGACAGCAGTAGCAGCAGCATCTGTAGAGAGTTATCACTCAAAGTGCCTACGTGACATGGGACAGCAGCAGCATCATCTGTAGAGAGTTATCACTCAAAGTGCCTACGTGACATGGGACAGCAGTAGCAGCAGCATCTGTAGAGAGTTATCACTCAAAGTGCCTACGTGACCTGGAGCAGCAGCAGCATCTGTAGAGAGTTATCACTCAAAGTGCCTACGTGACATGGGACTGCAGTAGCAGCAGCATCTGTAGAGAGTTATCACTCAAAGTTCCTACGTGACATGGGACAGCATCAGCATCATCTGTAGAGAGTTATCACTCAAAGTGCCTACGTGACATGGGACAGCAGTAGCAGCATCTGTAGAGAGTTATCACTCAAAGTGCCTACGTGACATGGGACAGCAGTAGCATGATCTGTAGAGAGTTATCACTCAAAGTGCCTACGTGACATGGAACAGCAGCAGCATCTGTAGAGAGTTATCACTCAAAGTGCCTACGTGACATGGGTCAGCAACATCATCTGTAGAGAGTTATCACTCAAAGTGCCTACGTGACATGGGACAGCAGTAGCAGCATCTGTAGAGAGTTATCACTCAAAGTGCCTACGTGACATGGGACAGCAGTAGCAGCATCTGTAGAGAGTTATCACTCAAAGTGCCTACGTGACATGGGACAGCAGTAGCAGCATCTGTAGAGAGTTATCACTCAAAGTGCCTACGTGACATGGGGTAGCAGTAGCAGCATCTGTAGAGAGTTATCACTCAAAGTGCCTACGTGACATGGGACAGCAGCAGCATCTGTAGAGAGTTATCACTCAAAGTGCCTACGTGACATGGGACAGCAGTAGCAGCAGCATCTGTAGAGAGTCATCACTCAAAGTGCCTACGTGACATGGGACAGCAGTAGCATCTGTAGAGAGTCATCACTCAAAGTGCCTACGTGACATGGGACAGCAGTAGCATCTGTAGAGAGTTATCACTCAAAGTGCCTACGTGATATGGGACAGCAGCAGCATCTGTAGAGAGTTATCACTCAAAGTGCCTACGTGACATGGGACAGCAGCAGCAGCATCTGTAGAGAGTTATCACTCAAAGTGCCTACGTGATATGGGACAGCAGTAGCAGCAGCATCTGTAGAGAGTTATCACTCAAAGTGCCTACGTGACATGGGTAGCAGCAGCAGCATCTGTAGAGAGTTATCACTCAAAGTGCCTACGTGACATGGGACAGCAGTAGCAGCGGCATCTGTAGAGAGTTATCACTCAAAGTGCCTACGTGACATGGAACAGCAGCAGCATCTGTAGAGAGTTATCACTCAAAGTGCCTACGTGACATGGGACAGCAGTAGCAGCGGCATCTGTAGAGAGTTATCACTCAAAGTGCCTACGTGACATGGGACAGCAGCAGCATCAGCAGGAGCATCTGTAGAGAGTTATCACTCAAAGTGCCTACGTGACATGGGACAGCAGCAGCATCTGTAGAGAGTTATCACTCAAAGTGCCTACGTGACATGGGACAGCAGTAGCAGCAGCATCTGTAGAGAGTTATCACTCAAAGTGCCTACGTGACATGGGACAGCAGTAGCATGATCTGTAGAGAGTTATCACTCAAAGTGCCTACGTGACATGGGGTAACAGCATGATCTGTAGAGAGTTATCACTCAAAGTGCCTACGTGACATGGGACAGCAGTAGCAGCATCTGTAGAGAGTTATCACTCAAAGTGCCTACGTGACATGGGACAGCAGCAGCATCTGTAGAGAGTTATCACTCAAAGTGCCTACGTGACATGGGTAGCAGCAGCATCAGCAGGATCTGTAGAGAGTTATCACTCAAAGTGCCTACGTGACATGGGACAGCATCAGCAGCATGATCTGTAGAGAGTTATCACTCAAAGTGCCTACGTGACATGGAACAGCAGTAGCAGCATCTGTAGAGAGTTATCACTCAAAGTGCCTACGTGACATGGGACAGCAGTAGCAGCAGCAGCATCATCTGTAGAGAGTTATCACTCAAAGTGCCTACGTGATTTGGGCAGCAGTAGCAGCAGCATCTGTAGAGAGTTATCACTCAAAGTGCCTACGTGACATGGGACAGCAGCAGCAGCAGCATCTGTAGAGAGTTATCACTCAAAGTGCCTACGTGACATGGGACAGCAGTAGCAGCATCTGTAGAGAGTTATCACTCAAAGTGCCTACGTGACATGGGACAGCAGTAGCATCATCTGTAGAGAGTTATCACTCAAAGTGCCTACGTGACATGGGACAGCAGCAGCATCTGTAGAGAGTTATCACTCAAAGTGCCTACGTGGCATGGGGTAGCATCAGCAGCATCATCTGTAGAGAGTTATCACTCAAAGTGCCTACGTGACATGGGACAGCAGTAGCAGCAGCATCTGTAGAGAGTTATCACTCAAAGTGCCTACGTGACATGGGACAGCAGTAGCAGCAGCATCTGTAGAGAGTTATCACTCAAAGTGCCTACGTGACATGGGACAGCAGTAGCAGCATCTGTAGAGAGTTATCACTCAAAGTGCCTACGTGACATGGGACAGCAGTAGCAGCATCTGTAGAGAGTTATCACTCAAAGTGCCTACGAAACTGCAATGCAGAGGACCTAACAAGAACTTGAATCCCTTCTAGATTTGAAGCTTTCGTGACTGCAAGGATCCACAAACTCTTTGGGGTATTTTTTTTCCGGTAAAGTCACGTAGGTAAAAAAATAAATAAATTAAGACGAAATTAAATCACGACGTTTCGGGCGCAACACAAGCGTCCTTCTTGTGTCGCTGCCTCCGAAACGTCGTGTTTAAATTGTTTATTTTATTTTAATTTTTTAATTTTTTCATGTTTTTTTTACCTACGTCGTGTTTAAATTGTTTATTTTATTTTAATTTTCTTAATTGTTTTAATTTTTCATTAGTTTTTTTTACGTGACTTTTACCGAATGAATACCAAAGAGCGCAAATCATTGCAGCCACCAAAGACTCAAATCCAGAATTAACTTTTTTTATTTTTGTTGAACGCCAAACCGCCGAGCGGAAGGCGATTTTGACGAGCGGCGATCTGCCAGCCCTGTGACCCCCCCTGCCCCCCCTTTCTCCCCCTGCCCCCCCCCCCTTTCTCCCCCTGTCCCCCCCACCATCTCCGCCGATGGTCTAGACGGCTACACACTCCAGGACCTGCTGTTCCAGTGGCTGCCCGTGAACGCTGTGACGTTCGCCGACGGGCTCAGCCTGCCCCAGTTCCAGCTGCCGAGGACTGCCGAGTTGGGCGACTGCACTAAGACCTACGTCACGGGTAAGGTGGTGGGGGGTGTGGGTGGGTGGCTGGGTGGGTGGGTGGCTGGGTGGGTGGGTGGCTGGGTGGGTGGCTGGGTGGGTAGCTGGGTGGGTGGGTGGTTGGGTGGCTGGGTGGCTGGGTGGGTGGGTGGCTGGGTGGGTGGCTGGGTGGATGGCTGGCTGGGTGGATGGCTGGCTGGGTGGGTGGGTGGTTGGGTGAGTGGGTGGGTGGCTGGGTGGGTGGGTGGCTGGGTGGCTGGCTGGCTGGGTGGGTGGCTGGGTGGGTGGGTGGCTGGGTGGATGGCTGGCTAGGTGGATGGCTGGCTGGGTGGGTGGTTGGGTGGGTGGCTGGGTGGGTGGCTGGGTGGGTGGCTGGTTGGGTGGCTGGCTGGGTGGGTGGCTGGGTGGGTGGGTGGTTGGGTGGATGGCTGGAATTCAGAGCGAAAATTAGACAGAGATCCCACCCCCCCCCCCCCCCGTATCGCCTGTAACAGACTGTAGGGGCAAGTGCTGTTAGCGAGCACCTATGAAGGCCGGAACGGTACACGAGGGGGTGGGTGGCCAGCACCACGCGCGGCCGCCTTTGTCTCCCGACGACTGAGGACTGCCTTACGCCCCGATTGGCACTGCGCGTCAAACATTGCCCCCTTCGTTTCCTGTCGTGTCCCCCCTGGGTCACACGCAGGCACGGGGACTCTCGTCTCGCTCTCTTGATTTCTTGATTTCCCCACCGAGGCGATGCAAACAGGTCCCTGCAGGGTGGGCTGGTAGGGACATTGGAATTTTTGCGCAATTTGATGACGTTGTTATACTTGCAAATGTTGCGTGCAATGAGACACATCAAGTCTCTGCGCTGTCTATTGCTGATTTTACACCACAACAGCACGAGATTTCACTTCGTTAAAGTATTGAAAGGTGACGGACGGACGGACACATTAACCCCTGCGTCTGGATGCCTCTTTCTCTCTCTGTCTCTCTGTCTCCTCTCTCTCTCTCTGCCTCAACGTCTCTCTTCCAGGTAGCTTTACCTGCATAGACGCCAAGTTTATGTTGCGCCGGGAGATGGGATTCTACCTCATCCAGCTCTACATCCCCAGCGTGCTCATCGTCATCATCTCCTGGGTCTCCTTCTGGATCAACATGAACGTGGCCCAGGCGCGCGTGGGTCTGGGCATCACCACGGTGCTCACCATGACCACGCAGAGCACGGGGTCACGCTCTTCCATGCCCAAGGTGATTGATGGGGCATTGAGATGCAACCACAGCCAGCTTCGGTGTGGCTTTGGGATAGAGATGCTGGGTTTGGGCGGGGAGGTGGGGTAAATGGGTGAGTAGAACGGGCTGGGGTGGATGGGTGGGTGGATGGGTGGGTGAGTGGGTGGGTGAGTGGGTGGGTGGGTGAGTGGGTGGGTGAGTGGGTGGGTGGATGGGTGGATGGGTGAGTGGGTGGGTGGATGGGTGGATGGGTGGGTGGGTGGGTGGATGGGTGGGTGAGTGGGTGGGTGAGTGGGTGGATGGATGGGTGGGTGGATGAGTGGGTGGATGGGTGGATGGGTGGGTGGGTGGATGGGTGGGTGGATGGGTGGGTGGATGGGTGGGTGGATGGGTGGATGGGTGGGTGGATGGGTGGGTGGGTGGATGGGTGGGTGGGTGGATGGGTGGGTGGGTGGATGAGTGGGTGGATGGGTGGGTGAGTGGGTGGATGGGTGGGTGGGTGGATGGATGGATGGGTGGGTGGATGGGTGGGTGAGTGGATGGGTGGGTGGATGGGTGGGTGAGTGGATGGGTGGGTGGATGGGTGGGTGGATGAGTGGGTGGGTGAGTGGGTGGGTGAGTCGGTGAGCGACCGAGCGGGTGAGAAGCATTGGCTAAAGAAAAGGGGAGCTGATGGGTGAGTGAGTAGGTGAGTGAGCGGGTGAGCGGCACGGGCTAAAGAACGGATGGAGCTGATGCGGTACAGGAGGACGTGGAGCTGAGTGGACTTGTCGATGACTGGTACCAGCGGTGTCAAGATCGGCCTCTGTGGAGGAGGCTCGTGAAGGACGCTGCTGGGCAGTTGGAGGCAGTCGCCCTCCAACAACAACGGAGGGCGGAGGAGCTACGCTCACAACAACGAGCGGAGTGCCGGGCGGCTAAAATACATCAAGTTGGCACAGTAGGGGGGCACAGGTGGTGCATTGACTAGTCATCTCAGTCAGCCGACCCATGGCACCTGGGTCTGCCCCGTGACCTCCTGCCAGCGGGCGTTCGACACTTCACGTGGCCTCAGGGTGCACATAGCCTGGCACAAGCGTCGTGGTGACGTCACCGCCACTTAGTGGCGAATGGCGGTTGTTGTTGTTATTGTGTCTGGTACGCGTCTGTGTGTGTCTGTGTGTGGTGTGTGTGTATATGGTGATGTGTCTGTGTGTATGTGTGTGTCTGTGTGTATGTGTGTCTGTGTGTATGTGTGTGTCTGTGTCTGTGTGTATGTGTGTGTGTGTATATATGGTGTGTGTCTGTGTGTCTGTGTGTGTCTGTGTGTCTGTGTGTATGTGTGTGTCTGTGTGTATGTGTGTGTCCGTGTGTATGTGTGTGTCTGTGTGTGGTGTGTGTCTGTGTGTGTTGTGTGTCTGTGTGTGTGTCTGTGTGTATGTGTGTCCGTGTGTATGTGTGTGTCCGTGTGTATGTGTGTGTCTGTGTGTCTGTGTGTGTCTGTGTGTGGTGTGTGTCTGTATGTGTGTGTCTGTGTGTGGTGTGTGTGTATATATGGTGTGTGTCTGTGTGTGTCTGTGTGTGTGTGTGTGTCTGTGTGTGTGTCTGTGTGTGGTGTGGTGTGTGTATATGGTGATGTGTCTCCCAGCTCTCCTACATCAACGCGATGGACGTGTGGATGACGGCGTGCCTCTTCTTCGTGTTCGGCGCGCTGCTCGAATACATCGTGGTCATCATGACGGCCATGCGGGCCAGGAGCCTCGTCAAGACAACGCTCACCAAATACCACGTGAGGAGACTCTCACCCACAGCCAGCCAGCCCCAACGGGTGATGGGAGAGGTAGGGGGAGGCTGGGGGAGGGGGTGCTTGGTTTGTATGATGTCCCCCTGTTCTATAGAGTGAGTGGAGTTTGTATGATGTCCCCCTGTTCTACAGAGTAAGTGGGTGGAGTTTGTGTGATCTCCCCCTGTTCTACAGAGTGAGTGGAGTTTGTATGATGTCCCCCTGTTCTACAGAGTAAGTGGAGTTTGTGTGATCTCCCCCTGTTCTATAGAGTGAGTGAGTGGAGTTTGTGTGATCTCCCCCTGTTCTACAGAGTGAGTGAGTGGAGTTTGTATGATCTCCCCCTGTTCTACAGAGTGAGTGGAGTTTGTATGATCTCCCCCTGTTCTATAGAGTGAGTGGAGTTTGTATGATCTCCCCCTGTTCTACAGAGTGAGTGAGTGGAGTTTGTGTGATCTCCCCCTGTTCTACAGAGTGAGTGAGTGGAGTATGTATGATCTCCCCCTGTTCTACAGAGTGAGTGGAGTTTGTATGATCTCCCCCTGTTCTATAGAGTGAGTGGAGTTTGTATGATCTCCCCCTGTTCTATAGAGTGAGCGGAGTTTGTATGATCTCCCCCTGTTCTACAGAGTGAGTGGAGTTTGTATGATGTCCCCCTGTTCTATAGAGTGAGTGGAGTTTGTATGATCTCCCCCTGTTCTACAGAGTGAGTGGAGTTTGTATGATGTCCCCCTGTTCTATAGAGTGAGTGGAGTTTGTATGATCTCCCCCTGTTCTATAGAGTGAGTGGAGTTTGTATGATCTCCCCTGTTCTATAGAGTGAGTGGAGTTTGTATGATGTCCCCCTGTTCTATAGAGTGAGTGGAGTTTGTATGATCTCCCCCTGTTCTATAGAGTGAGTGGAGTTTGTATGATCTCCCCTGTTCTATAGAGTGAGCGGAGTTTGTATGATCTCCCCCTGTTCTACAGAGTGAGTGGAGTTTGTATGATCTCCCCCTGTTCTATAGAGTGAGTGGAGTTTGTATGATCTCCCCCTGTTCTACAGAGTGAGTGGAGTTTGTATGATCTCACCCTGTTCTACAGAGTGAGTGGAGTTTGTATGATCTCTCCCTGTTCTACAGAGTGAGTGAGTGGAGTTTGTATGATCTCCCTCTGTTCTACAGAGTGAGTGAGTGGAGTTTGTATGATCTCCCCCTGTTCTACAGAGTGAGTGAGTGGAGTTTGTATGATCTCCCCCTGTTCTACAGAGTGAATGAGTGGCGTTTGTATGATCTCCCCCTGTTCTACAGAGTGAGTGAGTGGAGTTTGTATGATCTCCCCCTGTACTACAGAGTGAGCGGAGTTTGTGTGATCTCCCCCTGTTCTACGGAGTGAGTGGAGTTTGTATGATCTCCCCCTGTTCTACAGAGTGAGTGGGTGGAGTTTGTGTGATCTCCCCCTGTTCTACAGAGTGAGTGGAGTTTGTATGATGTCCCCCTGTTCTACAGAGTAAGTGGAGTTTGTGTGATCTCCCCCTGTTCTATAGAGTGAGTGAGTGGAGTTTGTGTGATCTCCCCCTGTTCTACAGAGTGAGTGAGTGGAGTTTGTATGATCTCCCCCTGTTCTACAGAGTGAGTGGAGTTTGTATGATCTCCCCCTGTTCTATAGAGTGAGTGGAGTTTGTATGATCTCCCCCTGTTCTACAGAGTGAGTGAGTGGAGTTTGTGTGATCTCCCCCTGTTCTACAGAGTGAGTGAGTGGAGTATGTATGATCTCCCCCTGTTCTACAGAGTGAGTGGAGTTTGTATGATCTCCCCCTGTTCTATAGAGTGAGTGGAGTTTGTATGATCTCCCCCTGTTCTATAGAGTGAGCGGAGTTTGTATGATCTCCCCCTGTTCTACAGAGTGAGTGGAGTTTGTATGATGTCCCCCTGTTCTATAGAGTGAGTGGAGTTTGTATGATCTCCCCCTGTTCTACAGAGTGAGTGGAGTTTGTATGATGTCCCCCTGTTCTATAGAGTGAGTGGAGTTTGTATGATCTCCCCCTGTTCTATAGAGTGAGTGGAGTTTGTATGATCTCCCCTGTTCTATAGAGTGAGTGGAGTTTGTATGATGTCCCCCTGTTCTATAGAGTGAGTGGAGTTTGTATGATCTCCCCCTGTTCTATAGAGTGAGTGGAGTTTGTATGATCTCCCCTGTTCTATAGAGTGAGCGGAGTTTGTATGATCTCCCCCTGTTCTACAGAGTGAGTGGAGTTTGTATGATCTCCCCCTGTTCTATAGAGTGAGTGGAGTTTGTATGATCTCCCCCTGTTCTACAGAGTGAGTGGAGTTTGTATGATCTCACCCTGTTCTACAGAGTGAGTGGAGTTTGTATGATCTCTCCCTGTTCTACAGAGTGAGTGAGTGGAGTTTGTATGATCTCCCTCTGTTCTACAGAGTGAGTGAGTGGAGTTTGTATGATCTCCCCCTGTTCTACAGAGTGAGTGAGTGGAGTTTGTATGATCTCCCCCTGTTCTACGGAGTGAGTGGAGTTTGTATGATCTCCCCCTGTTCTACACAGTGAGTGGAGTTTGTATGATCTCCCCCTGTTCTACAGAGTGAGTGAGTGGAGTTTGTATGATCTCCCCCTGTTCTACGGAGTGAGTGGTGTTTGTATGATCTCCCCCTGTTCTAGAGAGTGAGTGGAGTTTGTATGATCTCCCCCTGTTCTACAGAGTGAGTGAATGGAGTTTGTATGATCTCCCCCTATTCTACAGAGTGAGTGGAGTTTGCATTATGTCCCCCTGTACTACAGAGTGAGTGGAGTTTGTATGATCTCCCTCTGTACTACAGAGTGAGTGAGTGGAGTTTTTAGATCTCCTTCTCTTCTACAGACTGAGTGGAGTTTGTATGTTCTCCCGTGTACTAAACAACAGTGAGTGAGTGGAGCATTATTATCACAAATCCACGATTTAAATATCAAACTAATCTTCATGTTGGAGGCCCCAGGGGGACATTTGTCTATGACGTCTCCTGGCCAAACCCCATTTGGTGGAGCCAGAAGACTGAACCAGCACCCTTTGGGGTTCCCCCAGGCATGGTAAAAAGCCACTGCGAGTGGCCACGTCGAATGTTCGAATGCCAACTTGAGAGAATGGAGGCTGCCAATCTACTGTTGGGAGCTTAACCGGTACCGCCTTGATCTCTTTGGTATTCAGGAGGTCCGGTGGACTGGTTCTGACTCAACGAATCAAAATCTTTATTTAGACTGGATGATTAATTATGAGGGGCGGACAGTGGCTGTTAATTTGTGTAAAGCTGTGAGTCCTAGGCTGGGCACGCCCAGAGGGGCATGCCCTTGCACGCCCGTAGGCATGCCTCTGGGCACTCTGCTCACTAAGTGGATGACAGCAGAGCCATAGCCAATCAGCATCAATCAAACTCAGCCCACTGAGTGGATGACGGCAGAGCCACAGCCAATCAGCATCAATCAAACTCCGCCCACTGAGTGGGTGACAGCAGAGCCACAGCCAATCAGCATCAATCAAACTCAGCCCACTGAGTTGGTGACAGCAGAGCCACAGCCAATCAGCATCAATCAAACTCAGCCCACTGAGTGGGTGACAGCAGAGCCACAGCCAATCAGCATCAATCAAACTCAGCCCACTGAGTGGATGACGGCAGAGCCACAGCCAATCAGCATCAATCAAACTCCACCACCCACTGTCTTAAAAATATGGCAACTACTGTATTGTAGTGGCGATCACGTTTGATTTCTGATTAACCAGAGCAGCAACATATTTGTTCGGTTTAAAGCACTGTGTGACTTGTAATAACACATTTCCTAGAATAACAATGTATAACTGTTTTTAGATGATTAATTTGGGCTCAAGGGACAAATCCACGCATTATGGGATAAACTGCACACGCGGATAATCGAGAGTCTCCTTAACAAGTAATAGGAGGCTTTCACGACCAATATTATCCATAAGGGAGGTATTTGGGTTAGATCACACAAATTTAAATGTGTCGTTAAAGCCGACACCACTCGACAGCTAATTATAAAGATTTGTCACGTCAACAAAACATGCCAATTCGCTAACAGTTCAGCACTCGCCAGTTGTGTGCTGGAGAATAAACCCACTACAACATATTCATATTCTTAGCTTTTTCGGTAAAGTCACGTTGAAGGGAAACAATAAAAATAATAAAATATATATAAAACAATAACTACAACATTTAAACATTTAAGTATCTTGATGTTTCGCCAGTAATTATAACAACCAGCACCATCATGATACTTGAATAGTCAATGTTATAGTGGGTTTACTCTCCAACACACAAACAGTAAGTGCTGTGCTAGTAACTAATTGGCAACGCTTTGTATACGTCGCAAACCTCACAAATTGGCCGTATCGGATGGTGGTGGTGGGTTTCACAGCACATTTATAATTACGCAATTTTAACCGAACAAAATTATCTTGTGCATCGAGAGTCGTGCCGGCGATGAAGTATGATTAATGTGAGCGTCACCTTCCATTGCGTGAACCCCCCTCCCCCCGCCTGCCTGCCCTTAGGTCAGTACAGATGAAGGATGCGCCAAGTGGATGGAGCGGGCGCAGTTGATCGACAACGCCTCTCGATTCGTTTTCCCCATCAGCTTCGCCATCTTCAACATCGCCTACTGGCTCCTCTGCCTCCCGTCGAGGGGGAGATAGCGAGGGGTGGTGCACGCAGAGAATCAATGCTGGGACTCCTATACTTACGAACGAGTTAGATTCCATAGGTTTGTGTCCGTAAGTCTATTTGTTCGTAAGTCCAAATTTACTTCCGTCAGATTAAAAACATGTTGTAAGGCATGTACACTAAACACAGGGAATGGTTTTAAAAGTTGTATAATCTCCTGTAGATGCCACTGGTTCCTCGTGTTCTACAGATGTAGATGCCACTGGTTGTTTGCGTTCTGCAAATGTAGATGCCACTGGGTCTTCATGTTTCTGCAGATGTAGATGTGACTGGGTCTTCATGTTCTGCAGATGTAGATGCCACTGGTTCTTCACGTTCTACAGATGTAGATGCCACCAGTTATTTATGTTGTGCAGATGTAGATGCCACTGGTTCTTCACGTTCTGTAGATGTTGATGCCACTGGTTATTTACGTTCTGCAGATGTAGATGCCACTGGGTCTTCATGTTCTACAGATGTAGATGCCACTGTTTCTTAATGTTCTACAGATGTAGATGCCACTGGTTCTTCGTGTTCTACAGATGTAGATGCCACCACCACCATTTATTGCACGGCGGTTAAACTTACGACTCTCGGTCCAAATCGGCAACTGGACATACAGACATGTTTGTTCGTATCTCTGAAAGTTTGTAAGGTGAATGTTCCTAAGTAGAGGAGTCCCTGCAACAACAATACTTTCATTTTACATAGCATCGTTCGTGCTAATAGCATCACGTAGCACTGTGCATTAATTATATACAGGTCATCGATTATCCGGCGGCTTAGGAGGGAAGGGGGCGCCAGATTTTCTAAAATCCCGGATAATCACTCCTCATCATGACTTTTTTTGCGTAACATTTTTGCGTAACATTATGCGTCTAGGTGTTGTGTGTATGTGGTTTTGTTGTGTTTTAAATGTTTTAACTATGTGAAATTGAATTTTGATTTAAAGCTTTCGTGACTGCAGGGATTCATATTCTTGGTTCTTTTGGTAAAGTTACGTAGAAGGGAAATAATAAAATAATGAAAATATTAAACAATAAAATTCTCACGACGTTTCGACTGCAACACAAGCAATCATCATCAGGTGTGAAAACCACAGCAAGAAAATTTGAAAAAAGTGGCGGGTTTTTTAACGTTAGCACCACGGAGAGCGATTTGGCAGTTATTCAGATGGATGAGTCCATCTATGTTTGGAAAAGAGGGGGGAGACGAAAATAATGGATGCGGTCTGAAAGCCACCTTAAGCGTGAACAATCAATTAAGACCCGAAATTATTTATCAAATCCTTCCAATGATTGCTTAGCCAGAATCCATCTTTTCAGTTGAAATTGTCTCTGTTTTGTATATGTGGATAGCCTCATGAACGAATCTCTCAAGAGGGTCCTTCTTCATGGTTTGAGTGATAGCTTTGTGTATTGTGTAGTCGGAATAACCATTAGCCTCAAGAGCTTGGTGTACATGCTTGAGTTCACTGGCTATGTGTTCCTGGTCGGATATGCATTGGGCTCTATGGTGCAGAGTCTTGATGAGGGAATTCTTCTGGGATGGATGGTGGTGGGAATCCGGTTTCAGATAAGCATCTGTATGGGTAGCTTTCCTGTAGACAGAGTGGCTCATTGAACCATCAGGTCTCTTTTTTATTATGACATCCAAAAAAGGTAGCTTGCCATCTTTTTCGACTTCCACAGTAAATCTGATGGCTGGGTGTATGGAATTGATGTGGTCGAGGAATTGGTCTAGAGCAGGCCGGCCATGTGGCCAGATGACAAAAGTGTCATCCACGTACCTCTTCCATAAGGTTGGGCGCAGAGTGGCAGTCTGGATGGCGTCAGTCTCAAATTTCTCCATGAAAATGTTGGCTACAACCGGAGATAGGGGGAGCCCATTGGGGTGCCCTCAGTTTGTTTGTAGAAAGTTCCATTCCAAGTGAAGTATGTATTGGTTAAACAGTGTCTCACCAGGGGGGGTACCTCAGTGTTTAGTCCTTGATGAACCAAGTCTTCAATGATTGCGATGGTGTCAGGTACAGGAACTTTGCTGAATAAGGAAACTACATCAAAACTGACAAGCAGGTCGTCTGGGGACAGGGAAATGCCTTTGATTGTCGATACCAGGTGAGTAGAATTTTGTACCGCAGAGGTGTTTTTTTCCAGTGCAAGGCCACAGGATTTCAGACAGAAAACGAGCCAGTTTGTAGGTGGGGGAGTTGATAGTAGAGACGATGGGACGAAGGGGTGTATCTTCTTTATGTATTTTTGATAAGTCGTATAATCTTGGTGGCCTGGCAGCAGAAGGTTTCAACGAGAACTGTTTGGTTTGATCAATTAATGTCGTTGAATCAGAAATGATGTTGTTGGTTTGTATGACGAGGCTGTTGGTGGGATCTCTTCTTATTTTTGTATAGCTGCCATCGTTGAGTAATTCTTTAATTTTGTTGTTGTATTCTATTTTATCCATGATGACAGTAGCATTGCCCTTGTCAGCTGAGAGGATGACAATGTCATCCCTCTTTTTTAATTTATATAATTCAAAACGCTCATCTTTGCTGAGGTTGCTAGCTGGCATTTTAGCGTTTTTGAGGGTTGCAGCGATTTCAGATCTTGCTACGTCTGCAGCGATGTGGCCCAGGCCCTTGAGAGCCACATCTACTTGGGCAATGATATCATTGACTGGTATGTGTTTAGGTGTGACTGCAAAGTTTAGCCCTTTAGCTAAAACGGATTTCAGACCATCGAAAATAGAACTGTTACTGCGATTAATTACGACTTTGTTAACGTCTAGCTTTTTGGTGTGTGGGTCTGGTCTTTTGTTGGAGAGGAGGTTAAATTTGGAAATCAGGTTGTCCTTACATTTGGTCGACATAGTGGCAGCTGAAGAGGCAGTCATGTTGTCTACATGTTCCCAATCCGATGTGGACATTGTTGCCGTCAATGATAAGTGTGATTTGTAGAGTGTCTTGTCTAAATGATCTAGTTCAGTGCGCATAAGTCTGATTTTTTCTGAGATAAGAGCTAAGCTAGTTCTGGAAATAATTCGTTTCGCATAGTTAATCCTCCAGTCTAAATAAAGATTTGATTCGTGGTGATTAGAGTCAGAACCAGTCCTCCTGATCCAGTAGAGTGGCAGCCTCTTCTCTCAAGTTAGCATTCGAACATTCTACGTGGCCACTCACAGTTACGTCTGTAAAAGATGTGATTCCGGATATACAGTACCCTGCCGTCTACAAACTAAGTTGCCTCTGTGGTAGTAGTTACATTGGAGAAACCAAACGACATGTATCGGACCGCATCCGTGGACACAAAGCAGACCTAAAACACGGTAGGACCAACACCTCGGCCGTGGCAGATCACTGTTATAATTCAGTGGGCTCATATGACATTGACTTCTCCAAGACAGAGGTTTTCTGCAACCCATCTGGCTACCATGAGAGATTCGTTCGTGAGGCTATCCACATATACAAACACAGAGACAATTTTAACGGAGAAGATGGATTCTGGCTTAGCAATCATTGGAAGGATTTGATAAACCATTTCGGGTCTTAATTGATTGTTCACGCTTACGGTGGCTTTCAGACAGCATCCATTATTTTCGTCTCCCCCCTCCTTTTTTTCCGAACATAGATGGACTCATCCATCTGAATAACTGTCAAATCGCTCTCGTTGGTGCTAACGTTAAAAAAACCGCCACTTTTTTCAAATTTTCTTGCTGTGGTTTTCACACCTGATGATGATTGCTTGTGTTGCAGTCGAAACGTCGTGATAACTTTACTGTTTTATATTTTTATTATTTTATTGTTTCCCTTCTACGTGACTTTACCGAAAGAACCAAGAATATGTGAAATTGGTATAAATAAACATACAAATAGTCACATACATAACCGACTGTAAAAAGTTACCTATTTACTATGCCACATTTACCACTCCAATGTCGAAGACTCTGCATCATGGGGCGATATATATATAGGTTGCAGTAATTCTAATAGTTTACGTTTTATGTTGCGTATAATGTAGTGTGTGTAATATTTAACACTGAAATTAAGCATAGCTACTTTGTTATGTCACGCGTACACGGTGTCAATGGCCAGACTGGTTACAGCCTTTGGAGCGGTTTTGCAGGATTCGCTGCATCGGCCCCAGACCGCCGGATAACGTTGGAAGCAGCCAGATAATCGACGATAGACTGTAAAATGTAAAAGGACCAAATCCTCATATACAGCCAATACCAAGCAAATGAAAAGGCTTCTACTACTAGCAGGCAAACATCCACAATGAATTAAAACAGAATCAAGGAATCGCACCAAAACAGAAACGGCCAAAACAACGGAAGATGAAAGTTCTCACGCCAACAGAGACACGAGTTGACGAGGTCACACTACGTCATCCCAGAGCACAATCGCAACTTCCCAAACCGATTCATAATAAAAAGGTTTTTTGGGTTAGATCGCGTTATTTAGAAATGTGTCGTAACCCTCCACCACCCGACACGGCCAATCAGCAAAAAAAGTGCAACGTTAAAGTCACCAGGTAGAATGAGAATAAAATAATAAATTGATAAAATAAAATAACACAATAATATTCTCACGACGTTTCGGCCACAACACAAGCGGCCTTCATCAGGTGAAGAGACGAGATGAAGGGACGAGACTGTCTGGAGGACAGCGCTGTCCTACCAGACAGTCTCGTCCCTTCACCTGATGAAGGCCGCTTGTGTTGTGGCCGAAACGTCGTGAGAATATTATTGTGTTATTTTATTTTATCAATTTATTATTTTATTCTCATTCTACGTGGTGGTGACTTTACCGAAAGAACCAAAGAAGATGAATCCTTGCAGTCACGAAAGCTTTAAATCGAAATTTAAGTGCAACGTTGACAAAAGACAATTAGTTCACTACTTTAGCCCGATGATGCTGGATGTAATTACCAGCGAAACGTCGTGCTACTCAAACTGTAAATGTTGTGGATTCACTCTTCAACACACCGGTGGGCTAAAG